ATGTGCTAGTTGTCGTCTGTACGACCTACTTATAAATTTTAGTTAAAGATCTTTCCTTCTACTAATTTGCTTTAATGTGCATCTGAATGAGGCACTGAAAAAGTTTCATTCGCTTTGACCGTTTCACAAACGGTGATTAGTCTAGTGACATATGTTAAGAATTGTTTTCAGGAACCCCAAATTATCATATGATTTCGAATAATATAAAGACTGGAGGTTAATCATCTGTAAATTGATAATAATATATGTTATTCGTCAAGCAGGAGGTAAAGTACTATCTTTTGTTTCAGTACTCACGTGTACATGAGGCGGTAAATTTTGTTCATCTGTTAAGTGTAAAGTGGTTTGCACCGAATTGTAATGTGGCTCTTCCATTGTCAGTCGTTATTGAAAGATTTTTGCTTTTAGGCAGTGTCACTTGACGGAACTTTGTTTCAAAAGTCGGGAGTCATTAGCGGTGGTGCAGGGTAAGTTTAATATTGCTACTGCATAAGGAACATCGCTGCGTATTCTTTAATTGTTTTTCTTTCCCATGTTTCTTCGTTTCGGTGACTGGTGATCCTTCTCTTCGGTGGCCTTTTTAATTCAACACTTCTACGGCGGTCTTTTGTTTTTGCATATATTCTGAGATCAAACCAACTATCAAAGTTGCAGTTATGCTTTTCGCGGAACGTCTCTCAAAATAAAGCATTTTCACCTTGATATAATTCAACATTTCATCTGATGACCATTACGAATGTCTTGATTACAAAACGGAATTAATTGAATGTATTAAGTGCATCACATGATCTTTCACTGCCGGAAACAGTGCATCCACTTCCAGCAAAGTGAAAACAATGGAAGTAGGCATCATACTTGAAAAGTTTTTGTCTTACATCCCTAGCGCTTTCTGTTAAAAATAAAATGTCTGTGAGAATCGATCTTCTGATTCATTAGTTATATACATTACTAAGGCTCGAAGAAAAGGATTTTATTGAGAAGCCGACTTTTTGGACAACAAACAGTTTATCATCACGAATTGTTCTGAACGAAAAGACAGCGTGGCATGGCGAGCAGTGCAGTGAATTGAAAAATTAAATTTAAAAAAATTAATTTAAACGAAAATACCGCCGGTGACCAAATGCTTTAAAGCTACGTGGTATAAATTGCACTGGCGTGCTTTGGAATCCAAAGTAGTGAACTTAACCGTTTCATGGCGAAGCGAACCAAGACCACTGTAAAGACCTCATGAAGCAGCCGCCACTGCCAACCGAAAGGAGCTGAATAAGGTTTTTACACGGACATCGTTGTCTATTGCAGCAGCCTGTTGCACACAGCTGCAGTCTTACTGTAAATACAAAAAAGGCTAAGGGTTTAGTAAACGTACTGTAATGCTAAATTTTATTTCCTGTTACCAGCATTCATGCATTTATTTGAAAGGAAATTATAGTTGTCCAACCGTTGTATTAATTTATAAATTAGAAGCTGATCATGCAAATATTCTGACATGCATTAAATTGTGTCTGTTTGGCAGATTGATTTACTATTGCAGATATATCTTATTCATTGATTAATTTGGTGTTTTCTCTATGTTTGCATAATTTTGAGGTAAGCCGGGTGAAATAGATTTTATAGAAAAGTGCATGGATAATTCGTGGTTTCAAAAATATCTTCATACCTGTAATTTCTTCACAATTGGCTACAAGTAGTTCGAAATTTAGCTTATGAAAAAATAACATTGAAATTATTCCTGGAAATTACTCCTGTCATTTATGCTTGTCTGTCACTTTATTCTCTGATGTTAAATTAAATTAAATGTTATGATTTGGTAAAACATGATTGATTTATGCGGTTACATGTTTTGTAAGATGGCAATAGCTTTACCGGTGGAGCTAATTTCTATTTTATGCAGCAGACGTTGGCTGGGGTCTGGACTCGGTTACACTCTGGAGACATTACCGATGTTTCAGCATTCAAGCTGACTTCATTGTTTCAAGTGACTTTTTGTTATTTTGAATTTTTTTAATTATCTTCCTAATTTTGATGTAAATTC